AGCAACGAAACATCAATAGGCTGACTCAAATCTCTAAGCTTATCCGCCGCCATGGAGAGAAAAGATGAATGAGTGATAAACCCTAGAAATCAACAGTCCAGTTCAAAAACCCTAGAAACAGAGAGATGTGGACAAAAACCCTAGCAAAAAACGTGAGCGCTCAATCTTAAGTCTGTTCAAAGTTGTGGGGATTTTGAAGCTAAGTTCTAGAAGAAAGAGGCCAAAAAAGGAAAAAACACAGAGACAGCTTCAATTTGAAGCAGAAACAGTCTTCTAGAGACTAGAGGGGAGTAATAACAAAACGTACTAAACAAAAAGAGATAAAATAGGGGCTTCGGGAAATAATATTTTAAGCGCTTTTCCCTCCTCCCTCCCTTTTATATTTAGTGTGTGCGCGAGGAGCGTTTTTTACGTGTTTTTTTTTTTTTTAAAAAAAAGGGTTAGTGAAAGGGGAAATTAGAAAAACAAGGAGGCAAAGTTTTGGGAGTTGCGACTGGTTTGAGTACCGCAATGTCCCCCGCTTTGGCTTTTATATGGAAAGGGGGAAAAGAGGGAAAATGAGGGTATTGCCCCACTCACATTCCCAATAGTGAACACTTAACAGTGAAAGTGGAGTTTCTGTTTCACTCTTCTTTTTTTCTTTTAGGTTGTTTTTCATTGGTTTTGGACCTTTGGTGTGTGATTCTAGAGATTTATTATTATTTTTTTGGTTAAAGGGATGCATGCATAGATTAATTAAACTGTTTGAATAGGTACAACAAAGGGAATGCTAGAATTCCACATCAAATCCGGGTACTGAGCCACTGTATTTAGGCCGCTAATATTACAATCCGTAATATGTCTAGTAAATGTACTTCCTAGAATATTGCCAAAAATGCTTCATTTGCAATCACTGAGGAACTACGAACATGGTCAATTTTTCAAAAACTTCCTTCTTGATTCCTTGTTTTGCCAAAAGATCTACCTGTAGTTGTGCTTGAATGATATTATGTTCATTCTTTGAATCAGCATTCTGCACTCAAAGATAATAGGATTATATGTGATTTAGAGGTTACGATTAGAATTGCGAGACCGAGTGTTTCACAACAAAATTTTATCACGTTTCATACTTGTGGTATGGTAACTATTAAGTATGATATGAAAGTAATCGCGTTATTTGATCAATATAAATCTTTTTGACATTATCGATCATATATGAAATGTAGTTTTCCTATTTGTTAGGATCGGGAACCCGGACAGTGCGAATTTTAGCCAAACAACGGTATAATGACAATAACAAAGACAATTGAAGTTGGTAACAACGACAATTAAAGTAGATAAAGAAGACACAAATCTAACATGGTTCGGTCAAAGTGACCTACGTCCACAAGCGGAGAGAAGCAATTTACTATAACAATAAGAGTATAAAAGAGAGTACAAAATTAGAGTAAACGCTCTAATTAATCCCAAATACCCTAAGAGAATAACGTCACAAGATCACTCCAAAGAAAGGATTCACACAAGTGCTTCCCAACACTTAACTTTCATACAAAACACTCTTAATAAAGGAATAAATGAAGAAACAAGAAATGAAGACTCAAGTCTTGTTAGTGTGTCTAAAATGAACTAATTGTCTTCCCTTTTATAGGCAAAAAAGTCTTGGCCTCTTAGATGTAAAAGAAAAGATACAACTTGTGCAAATGATGTCCACCACATAATGCAATATTTTTGGGTACCAAAGAATATTGCCAACAAAGTCTACACTTTGCAAAGATGCTTATGCTTATATGAGATGGACTCCATTAGCCAAAATATTGGCCATAATTACAAATCTCCACCTTGGTCTAATTTTGGCTGAAATAGTAAATTTTCTCCACCTTCTCCGCAAAAGCCCCAATGGGCATATGTCAAAATTTAATGCCATCAAAATCAGACAAGTTATTCGATACCGAAACTGTAGTAAGGCCTATAACAGTGGATCCCAATAAAGTATACAACGAACCAGATCTGTGTGCTTTCATGATCACAAGAGCACCATGAGAAACTTTCAGAACTCCACCTTCACCTGTGTACTTGCACCCAAGAGATTTTAGAGTGCCCAAAGAGATGAGATTGTTTTTCAAGTCAGGAACATGTCTAACATCAGTGAGAATTCTCACCACACCATCGTGCATTTTGATTCAGACTGTACCTTTTCCAAAAACTTTGCAGGCAGCATTGTTGCCCATCAAGACAACTCCACCTCCAATAGATTCATATGTGGTAAATAAATACTGATTATGACACATATGATAAGAATAACCCGGATCTAAAATTCACTCATTGTTAGATTTGAAACTATTATTAGTTGCTAAAAAAATAGTTCCCTCAGTCTCATCAACAGCCACACTTGCTTCGGCAATGCCAGTATTTTTGTGTTCAGTTTTCCTTTCCTTATGTTTTTCTTTATTTTTCAGCTTATAGCATTCGGAGATAGTGTGACCTTTCTTATGATAATAGCGACACTCTAAATTATTGTATCCGGATATGGAGTCGGATTTGTCCCTAACAAACAAGCCTACTTCCGCTTGAGTTCCACTAGCTTCCCTAGTAATATCACTATCTATTTGTTCTTTTAATTTTAAAATAGATTTAATATCCTTATAAGAGATATTATCCTTTGCATAAAGCATAGTATCTCTTATATGCTTAAGAGATGAGGGTAGAGAACAAAGCAGTAACACGGCTTGATCCTCATCTTTAATTTCAGCATCTATATTACTCAAATCCATAAGAATGGAATCAAAGGTGTCAAGATGAGAGAGAATAGAGGTACCTTCACCCATACGAATTGTATAAAGCTTTTCCTTCAGGTAAAGTCTATTTTCCACCGTCCTCTTCATATATAAGGTTTTTATTTTTTCTCACATGCCTTTAGCTGTGGTTTCTATAGAAACTTCACGTAAAACCTCATTTGAGAGATTTAAAATGATACCTGTTTTTGCCTTTTTGTCTATGATGGCAAACTCTTCGTCCGTCACTTTATCCGACTTCTTCTCCTTTCCTTGCAACGACAAGTCTAAGCCATCTTGAATTAGGATAACTTATATTTTTGATTGCCACATTCCGAAGTTTGCACTTCGGTCAAATTTCTCAACATAGATCTTTGTTATAGTCATTTTGGCTATTAAAACTAACCCGGTTAGATTCGGCTCTGATACCAATTTGTTAGGATCGGGAACCCGGATAGTGCGAAATTTAGCCAAACAACGGTATAATGACAATAACAAAGACAATGGAAGTTGATAACAACGACAATTAAAGTAGATAAAGAAAACACAAAGTTAACGTGGTTCGGTCAAAGTGATCTACGTCCACAAGCGGAGATGAGCAATTTACTATAACAATAAGAGTACAAAATTAGAGTAAACACTCTAATTAATCCCAAATACCCTAAGAAAATAACCGCACAAGATCACTCCAAAGAAAGGGTTCACACAAGTGCTTCCCAACACTTAACTCTCGTACAAAACACTCTTAATAAAGGAAGAAACAAGAAATGAAGACTCAAGTCTTGTTGATGTGTCTAAAATGAACTAATTACCTTCCCTTTTATGGGCAAAAAAGTCTTGGCCTCTTAGGTGTAAAAGAAGAGATACAACTTGTGCAAATGATGTCCACCACATAATGCAATATTTTTGGGTCCTAAAGAATATTGTCAACAAAGTCTACACTTTGCAAAGATACTTATGCTTATATGAGATGGACTCCATTAGCCAAATATTGGCCATAATTACACTATTGGTATGAAGTTATGAATTGGTCTCTTAACCATTGTTTAGTAGGAAAAATTACGTGATACAATAAACATATACTCATTTGTAGTTATATTTGATCTTTATAGCAAATCTACCTATAATACTGAAACAAGAGATCAATTGTTTTGAACTGAATTAATAGAGCAACAAGCTCTCTTAGCTCAATTTGTTAAACCACCCCGAATACAATATTCTTTGTACACACTCCTGTATTTTGCCTTGGTTTTATTCGTTACGTGAACGCATAAGGTTAATACAAATTGTGTTCATTCGATACATGTTATATTCGTTGCGTGAAAGAATACATTTGATATAGGTTGTGTTCGTTGATACAGATTGTATTCGTGCGCGAAGGAATACAGTTGATATAAGCTATACTCGTTGCGCGTCTGAATACAAGTGATACAAACCGGTAACAACTAAACAATAACTATAGATGATAATTAGACAATCTGTAGGTGCATATGATAATTAGGCTCTAAATTGTAGTGATTTAGAAAATTCCTCTTTTTAGTACTGATGGTATTCTATTATATCGACATAATACTCTTCCTAGAAGGTGATCGAGAGGTGCTCTCTAGGTGTATTAAATTTTTGTTTTTGTATGGTAATATTTCGCAGTTATTACCAAAACAAATCCTTAGTATTCTATTCTTTATTAGTGTTTGTAGTATACCCTCATTTTCACATAGACAATATTCTATTCATCACATTTTATTGAACAAGGGGATACATTTTATAGACAATACGTTAGTTTTGACTTTATATTATGTTTGGTAACAATAGAATAAAGATATTAACACAATGGTCGAAATGTTAGTTTGGTATAAAGATATTACGTAAAGTTCCAAATCTGAAAATTATAAATAATAGGGCCAAACGTTTCAAAAACGTTAAAAACATATAGAATATCATACAAATTAAATCAGATAGTAGAACATTTCAGTTAAACTGTTTTTTGCTTGTATTTGTATTCCTAATACTGTCATCTTTTTCCATAAATGCTAATTCACGTGCATTCCTAAGTAAGTGCTTTGTTATCAAGTGTTTTTCCTATTCTATTGTATGGGAAAGAGCAAAATCATCTAGTCTAAGCTCTGGCAGATAAACTGCTATATATTCCCATTGTGTGAGTTATAAAAGAATAACAAAATTGTTATTTCCCCTGAAATGTCTCACATAAGGGAAAAAACTAAAGAAGAAGAATGAGAAAGAACAAGAGTGTGAAGTTTATTTAAGGAAAATTGGGTGTAGCATATAATAAGTGAAGTTAAAACTCAAAAGGAGTACAAGATTTTTGAGATGCTCAAGAAGAAATCCTATCAGAAGACAAAAGTAGTCAGTTGCTGAACTAAAATACAACACTTATACAACTTACAGAACCTCTTGTAAATTCCATTGTTCAATTGCTATTTCTAACTGTACGTCCAAACTTCAGTCTGCACTTACGACAAATATACAGTTGTGCTAGCTTCACATTTCTGCACCTTCGCTTTGTCCTTGGGAGTTCTCTGACGAAATTGTTTTTCCCTTACTATCAGAAATTCCTAAAGCATCTGCTGGTTTCTGTGTGTTTGGATTCTCTAAAAGCTTGAGCTGGTTTTGCAGAACCTGATCATAAATACAGTGTACAACAGCGGCATAATTGAATGAGAATTAAGCTCTCCATGAGAGAATAAACAAAAGCATTACAGAAAAATAGAGAGAAGGTAAGAAAAAACAATCATCCAACATAAGAATCCGGTCCACTATAAAGCAGCCATGTGCATGATTCATATATCTCATCCACCTATTACCCCCCCCCCCCCCCCCAAAACAAGAAAAATGATAAGATAACAAATAAAGCAAAGCTTGCAATTGTCTAAAAATAGTAACAAAATCCCAGATTAACATTCCAATCCAGACTGTTAATGAACTCTATCTAGAGATCATTGTCCACAAACAAACTAATGAATCGAATGAATCATAAATACCAAACAGGAGCCATGTGAGCTATAAATTACTTAGAGAACAAAGAAAGGAAATAATTTACACAAACAAATGTGAGTAGAATTGACAAAGGAGCATAAGATTATTTCAATAACTTCATAACTCTAAACAAACATAGGTGAGTAGAATTGAAGAAAAGACCACACTTCAAGTTCCACGCATGTAGAATTGATTTGTGCATTGGAATTTACCTGCTCTTTTACAGAGCAATACCAAATGTATAATAGAGGCATATAGAAAATGTTACCAATCAAGCAAAGAAACTTTAATACCTCAATTTGTTGCTGTAAAAGTATCTTATGGGCCTCAAGTTGAGCATTTGGAATACTAAGGTTGTTAGCACCAGGATACTGAAAAGGGAGGAAACCACATTGTGGATATTGAGCAAAGGGCATATTTGCTAACTGATGTTGCGGTGACTGTTCATTCGATGCCCGCTCCCCATCTGGGTGCACATTGACAGAACTGCCTGTTGGACAATAGTACGGAGGAACTGGAGCATATCCAGGAGACCTGCAAGCAAGACCCCATTGTTTCAATTTCCTTCCAACAGTTATGAAACTTACTAAAATACAGACTCCATCTTCAACTGCCAAAACAGAAAGAAAGAAAACAGGAAGGGGGGTGCATTGTCAAAAAGTTGAACTTGAAGCAGCCACCTTCCACCTCATTCTGCATCAACCATTAGTTTCTATCGCAGAACAAAGAACTACAAGTTGAAGGCAACCTCATTGACAGTCATGGACAGCTAAATGAGCAGCTATTAATAGAGGGTCCATGACAAGCAAGTAATTTCTAGGAAACTGACCCAATTGAGTGAATCGGAAATGACCCACAATCAGACTAGTGATTACATCACAATCCCTGAAGGCATGCTAGTGCGAGACATTGTTTGCAAATTCACAATTTCATGCTCAATTCATCTCAAGCAGAACTATATTTGACTTTCCATATACCAAGACGACACTTAAAATGGATCTATTTTAAATGTTCTTTGGGGAGCATGTAAGAGGCACAAGTTAATTTTGTAATTTTGTAAAAATCGGAATACGAAAAAAGAAGCACAAAGGTATAGATAATAACTTCTGTACCACGTAATATGCTAACAAAATTTTCTTTTTAAGAAAGATATTTATTTGAGAAGCACAAGAAATGAACGTAGCCATCCAGTGGCAACGCAAGGGCAAAGAGAAAAAGCAGGAGTTGACTTATCCATAGAATACAAAAACCAAAATAGATCTGCCCTGTGTAAAAGAGCAGTGCAGTAATAAAGTGCACAACAGAGTGGACCCTTTACCAAGTGATAACAACTTTATGTTGTTAAACGAAGCATGTATAACCTAAGCTGCTCGGATTCGGGCATCCGATACGGACACGGATCTGAGTGTCGGATTCGGCAAAATTTAAATTTTAAGATTTGGGGGTGTGGATCCAGGTATGGATACGGGCGCGGGGATTCGGCTAAAAAAATTCAAAATTATAAAAAATAGAGATTAGAGATATAAAGAGAAAAAGAAAGCAATTCAAGGCCTTCCACCAACTCTCCATCTATATCGCTGTCACTGTCTACCAGAAGTCCGAACTCAGAACACGACCCCTTAAATTCCTGGTTTTTCCGAAACACAAAGCATTGCTATGAGACAAAAGTACTACAATATTGAAGGTATGCCATCTCCATGTCTTAAATCTGTTTTATTTTTAATTTTGAGAAATCAAAATCTCAATTTCCCCCCAAATTTGTTGATGGACTCATGTCAAAATATCCGAAGTTAGTTGACCGAATCCGGGACGTATCCCGCTCCCGCCCCGTATCGAGACGGGTGCGGCACCAAAAACGAAGAGTCCGCGCAACTTAGTGTATAACAAAGATGAAACTCCCTCTTATTGGTGTCTATAATGAAATCCTATCTAACCTGCTTGTAAAGTTCCTCAATTTACTTATCGCTAACTAGTAGGCTGAAAAAGGAATATAGACAGGTATACTTCAGCTTTTCACATCTGTAAGATGAGGAAAGGTCTAAAAATATGCAAAGCAAATAATCAATAATGTGTCTACATAAAAGATAAGAAAATCAATACCACGCTAGCGTTGGTACAGAAGGGTAAACAAAGGACTTCTGATAAACTGCTGCTGCTGCTGCTGCTGCAGCTTGGAGTCTAGCCTGGTGTTGGCTAACATTATTATTTGCCACGGTATTTGCCTGCGCACTCTGAGATGTACTTGCACCACTTGATCCAGGGCCTGAGAGAGAATTAACAAAGGTTCAGTAAAATATATACAAGTGCCACATTCATCCATTTGTACAAAAAACATATATACATAAAAGTGTCCCATCTCTGGATTAGCTCTTCCGACATGACTGTCATCCTTAGCATACGAAAACTAGACATACATTCACTTCTCGAAAAAAAAAAAAAAAATAGACATACAATCCAACAATCATAGTGACAACAAAGTATAAACCTCGGGAAAAAAAATTCAAAACCGTCATCAAAAGTCAGAAGTCTGCCATTGGACGGCCTGCTATTAATGTGATTCACACTTCAGCACTTATGCTACAATTTGATGCTCGAAAACAGATTATTAGCAATGAATGGAAAAACTTATACCTTGTTGAGCATCTGGTCGTGATCCTACCACATTCGTCCCATTTTCAGCTGGCACAACAAGGGCTCTGCAAGTAGGACAGGTGTGTTGACGCTCTAGCCATGAACGGAGGCAATGTACATGAAACAGATGCCCACAAATAAGTTTCTTAGCAGTGGTCATCTCCTCACGACATATGATGCAGGTAGCATCACTTCTGCATAAGCATAGAAGTAACTGATTACATTAGAAAGTTGCGAAGAAACCAAAAATATACAAATGCTATGAGTGATCAACTTACACATCGAGCTCTTCTGGTGTAGCATCTGGAAAACGGTCATTCATATTTGAAGTGATCCTCCGATAGCGTATGTAATCGGCAACTCGAATCTTGAAGTTGCGGAATGTCTCATAAAGCTCCCGAATCAAATGCAGGGGCACGCCATAGTTCCTAGAAAGTAGAAGAAACAAATAAAATATAAGTGCTAAGCAAGGAAAAGGAAACGGAGATGAACAAGTAACATGAGAAAAACCAAGTGAGGTGTCTCAATGTACTAATAACAGGAGCGAAAGAAAAAAAAGGCTTAATAAACAAGCCTGGGTCAAAAAATTGAAAGTAACATCAACATAGATAAAGAAGAATGAGCGCTTCTATCAAAAGGCATACAGATCTGCAGAACAAGCAACAAGTATCACACACCAGCTTGACTATGTAACTATGTCTACCTGAGGAACCTTAGTAAGGTTTTGGAACATTGTGCTTCCCTATTTCTAAATGTCCCTCATAAAAGAGGCAGAGGATAAAAAAGAACATGGTGAACTGCTGGCAGCTGCAAGGTTTATTTCTTATACCAAAAAGAATGTCCCCAACCGTACATGAATCGATAATGTGTTTCAGAACCTATCATAAAAGAGGAAAGCCTCCAGGGGAAAAAGAGAAATGATGTACTCAAGTGGGTTCATCTTAGTACCAGTTTACCAACAGAAAGTACCAAGCACATCGAAGAAATGAACATGCTTCACTGTCACCTATTTCATCATCACAAAATAATGATAACTTCCATTAGGGTGGCCAAAAAATTATGTATCCTCGGCACTCCTTCCAACACATAGGCAAAGCCGGCCACAGAACGTGCAGAGAGATCTAACAGGGCCTATTGATCCAGAAACTTGACTGTAAGAAAATTTAAAAAAGAAAAAAAATCGTTTCAGGGAAACCTATAAATGTGGCTCATTTGGTTCACAGCGACGACAACCAATTATATGAATGCTGGTGTGCGGCCAAACTTATAGCTCTCGGTTCATTAATACTATAATCCCAAATTCTGAATATTTTCAACTCTATTCTAAATCTTGTGTTGGTCAGACTAAGTATAATAAGATGAGAGCAGCTTTTTTGCTACAAAATTGGCAACTGATATCATCAATAAATGTCTAGATAAGGAAAATGGAATGGACTAATAAATGTTTCCTTACGGAAAAAAAAGAAGTGAAAGCAGTCAAATAAATGGATGGAGCTTTCTACAAGAAACTATGGCTGCTCTTGATCACAATAGAAACTTATGTAAGAGAAGGATGAAATTTTTTATATCCAGAAGAGATACACCTCTATATAATTACTCTTTTTTTGCTGTTGGTAGAAAAACCTCTAGACACTTTATGAGCAGAGAAATCAATAGCAAAATAGAAGTTAAATTTGACTTACATGAAAATCACCATGAAGAAGCACAAGTACAGAGACAAGTGGAGCAAGTCTCGGATAAGTTCTAAGTAGAAAGTATAGACAGGCTTCCTCTCCCATTGTCCTTCCATAAGCATGTCGCTTATGTAGAAGACATATTTTACAAAAGTTGAGACAGTTGTTGTCACAAGTATCATGTACCTGAATCATTACCCAAAAGAAGTTGCTCTTCATTAGGGAGAAGAATATAGGATACAGTTAACATGATCAAACTGCAGTTAGGAAAAAGAATACGAGAAGTAATCAAGTTCAAGAACATATTTCCAACAGCTAGAAATACTAATACTTAGTAACCACAGTCTTGAAGTTCCCTCATGATGATCCTCAACTTGACATCTGGAGAGTATATACTGAAAGCTATGATCCAGAACTTAAGAACGATACGCGGATCAGCCATGTGTTAATAGAATTCATGGATATAACAATGTTAGTACATGCATGAAAAAACCAAAGGATTCCAACCAAACAGTGAATCATCATTAAAATATACATTATAAAAGATCAATCCTAGCAAAGAGGATTGAAACTTGGGTGTACTAACATCTTTACCTGATTAAGATTTGTAACGTAGTTTACATGACATATGAGATAAGACTGCTATTCCAAGAGATTTGACATCATCCAGCCCTTACAATAGTCAAATCAGGTTTCTAACAAACACGAGCTTTAACAATGCAATACTAATAAGTATACCGAAATCACGGCATTTTGCATCAGCTTAGAAGATAAGCAAAGTAGGAACTGCGTAAAAGAAAATAGCACTCTTAGATCCAAAGCCTACTGTCAACTTTGCTAACGCGCCAGCGCACACATAAACATGATACAATCCCATGCTCCAACCAAATGATTTGTAAGGCATGAAACACGACTATGGAGGCCCTCAATCTAATAAGACTACTAACGTCTCTTTTTTTGTTTTTCGAAAAGGTAAGGTAGTAAGACTACTAACATCTTTAGCTTCTTCTCTTGGAATATCACTCGCAGTAGTAAAATCACCAGAAACTAGTAGTGGAACTCATGGAGCACATATTAAGCAAAAAAGGGAGCAACAACAGTGGGTCAGAAGAGCTTGACTTACTCGAATGCAAAGAATAGAGAAACAGATGCCTGTCTTGTCTGAATCAAATAGCTGACAGAGTCGTACAAGAAGAGACTGTCTATGAGGAGGAGAAAGCCCAAGAAGGAGACTATGCGAACATGGGACAACGTAGTAACAGTTGGGGTTGTTTCAATATACTCAACCCTCTTTTGAGCCAACCAGTGCAAGCCCTTGATAAGCAAGAGTGCAGTTACCATTGCAAGAAACATAACTGAGAAGTCTTGCCGGAAAATTGTGATGGCAAAAAGTATTTCCATGAGTTCCCTCCAAGACTGCTCGTTCAGCCTCTCCACCTCAGCCTCTCGAAGAGAACCAAGGAAGATTTTCTTAGTCAGCTGCCACAAAATGCACATGAGGGCAAGACCCATGTTAAGAAGAAGAACCAGACTGATCTTGGACGTTGATAAATAAACCATTGCTGGGTAAAATTGGCCTCTGCTATTAAACGCATGATAAATAACGGCCAGTGTAGCTATTATGCTAAGCCCCGCATAAGTTTGTAACCTCACCATCTTCTCTAAATCCTGTCAATATCAAAAAGCTTTAAACCAGATCAAATAAAAGAAGAGAATATATTTATCTCCATAAATTACAAGTGTTAAAAGGGATGGTTTTTGGTTTTATAAGCTAAAAAATGAAAGAGCATCACGTTAATTTACATCCTAGGTTATAAAAAAGGCCAAATATCAAAACAATGCATGTGTGTAGATCGATTCCACAGGATACTATGATCCTAACCTAATGGCGCAATGGAAACAATAAACTTACGAATTAGGGAACAGATTTCAGACCTTTTACTATGATTCTGAGATTTAAATTACCTCTGGAATCAGAACAAAAACACTTAACTAATTTTTGTATGAACCGGACGCGAATGGAGCAAAATAATGGATATAGAGGATTCGGTTAGTTGACTGAACCAGTTTGGAATAGACAGTAGTTGATTGATTGATTGACTGGACATAGAAACAGCAAATTAAGGGTTACGAAATGCGTTCAGATCGCAGATATTTACCTGTCAAAATTACTGTATCCTCGCGGCGATTCCTTAGCTATTCCTTGAAATCGTCTAAAGCGTAAGTTTGATAGCCATGGGAGAAGGTGGATGAGGAGGAGGAAGGAATTTGTTTTCCGCGTCATCGAGGGAGGTTTAGCCAATTGTTATTCGCCACGTGTGAATTCACAACGCACAACCTGACCCGATCCGGTAACCATATCGGTTTTCAACTGAATTTATTTTCTTGATACACCCTGTATTTCTGAAATAAACATTTACATCCTTAGTAATGTGAACTTGATTGCAAATACACTCTTTGCATAAAAAACTAAACACTTACAACCCATGTACTTTGTGAAAAAATATTTTTTTTAAAATACTTCCAAAGATTAAGGAAAAGACCTTTGAATCAATAAAGAATCAAAATCAATTAATTGACTTAGGAATAAGCCATTTCTAAAATATCCATGGATCAATCAGGTATGCACAAACATGAATTATGTAAGAATCGAATGCCGACAAATAGGGAAATTTGATATAAAAAACTGAAAAATGATTAAGGCAATTAAAAAGTTCTAAAAATCCAAAGATCAAGTATGAAGATTGAATATCAGTACCGTATATTATTGTATTTAAAAAATTGTGAGAGTTTCAAATTATACTTATTATAATATACTCTGCAAAAAGAGTTGTTCATGCTACTAAAAATAAACCATATTCTAGAAAAAATAAAAGTCATAATAATTCTCATCGTGCTAGATAAAGACCTCATTTTTTAAGTAAGAGAAATATTTTGCGTTATTTGTTGGTGGTGAACAAGTAGAAAATTATTTGAGTGTAAGTTATTTGTGGTGATAAAAAATAAACTACATGTTAATGGTGCATGCCAAAAATAAGTTTTGATCTAGTGAACCCTCGAACAAAGGGAGACTATACACATGCTTAACTAAATCATTATGGATATTGTTGTGCACGGATCGGATCGGATCGGATCGAATTTAGCACATTTCGAATTCGAATTTCGTATTTTACAAAATGCAATCTGAATCCGATATGAATTAATATTGGATCGGATCAGATTTTAAACTTTGGATCAGATAAATATTTCGGATTGTCGGATCGGATTGTTCGCGTTATTATGGCTTATTGCCAATCATACTCACTTTTTCGTAATGCTCTATGTTTTTTGCCACTATAGAGCCCGTTTGGACATAAGAAATTTTTTCCTTTTTTCCAAAAAAAAAAAATATTTTTTTTTCAAAATCAGCGTTTGTTCATAAAATTTATAATTTTCACTTGAAGATGCATTTTGAAAATTTTCGAAAATTTGAAAAACTTCAAAAAATTATTTTTCAAAATTTTCACTCAAATCACTCACAAAACTTCAAAAATAACCCAAAATTATATTCATGTCCAAACATAACTTTAAATTTTAAATTTCATTTTCACTTGAAAATTTTTCCCCCCTATTTTGGAATTTTACAATTCTTATATCCAAACGCCCACTAAGATTGGTGTTTATCAATAAAAACATAAGAATGCTGCTTAACGTTTCAAACCACAATATGAATTACATTGAAAGGCAAAAATTGTCTTTCATTGTAATAAACAAAACACAATCTTCATATCAAAATAAAACAAACCAAAATCCCCACAATTATCTAATAAACTGAATCAACAAAAATTCTTTAACATATTACACAAAAGAGTTCCAAGTTCCAACTTTCGGGAAGTCGCATATATACTTTTAAGACAACACAACCAGACCTAATGTAGCTCTCAATTTCAGTAGGATTGTGAGACAACCAGTCAAGAATCTGCAATTTCAAACAATTCAAAGAGCATTTCAGAAAAAGAAGAAGTAAGATAAATTACGGAGCTCAAATGAGCACATAAAGCAATAAATTTTCCATAATTTTTGCAAATTACAGCTAAAAAATTAATTCATTGACGAGCAAAGACTCGATCCGAAGATACTAGTGGCAAAGCCAAATCGATACATACATATACACAGAAAAATTGGAAAAAGACAGCATGAAAATTCAATAAAAAAAATACACAAAACAAGGAGTGTCTTACCGTCGCGTCGAGTAGTTTGGTCTTGACAGAAAAGGGAGGCGGAAGTCGAGCAAGGAGTTAGACTCTTGGAGGCGGAAGTCGAACAAGGAGTTGGAGAGTGTTGGACTCTTGTTCTTGTAGAAGAAAGGCGGAAGCCGAAACAGAGAAATGTGAGAGAGAGTAGTTCGATATAACTTATAGGTTATAAGTTATAACCTAACATAAGTGGGCAGTGGGATGGGCTAGTGGGCTGTGAAAAAGTGAAATACTCCCTAACTCTAAAATTTTAGTATATAGGTCCATATAATTTTGGATTTCGGATCAGATCGAATTAAAATTATACCAATTCGAATCCAATTCGAAAATTCAAAATTTTATAAAACATAATCCATATCCAGTCCAAATATCCGAAATGCAAAATTGAGCGGATCGATTCGGATTTCGGATATCTGATCCAAATAAACAGCCCTAACTCACCAGTCATGTGACATTATACTGTTTTTTTTGCATTTATGAGTTATTTTCTTCTTCTCGTGCTTATTTTATAGAAGGATGGTCTTCTATTGGCAACTCTACAAAATACTTCCATCATTCAAAATTAAGATTTTTCCAATATATATATATATATATATATATAT